AACTGTTAGAGGTTGGAAATTAATACATGCTAGATGCTGATCACAAAAATAGATGCAGGACAAAGAAAAGAGGTAAAACTTCACCTTATTTGTCTCATGCCCCATGCAGGACAGAGGTTTAGAAATAATTGTGCAGGAGAAAGGAAAGGAGTGGTCTGAGAAGTTCAGGTACATCAAAGATAAAAACAATAAAATATAAAACTGATGGTGAAAGTGCTGATGAAGACGAGAAAAAAAATCAAGTGACATAAGAAAGCCATTTGAAACACAAATGACCTAAAAATATTATTTCTAAAGGGTCTGGTGTGAATATATTTAAGCCCTATAACTTCCAGGTAAAGTTAAATTACAGCTTTTGGATCACAAAACCTTGTCATCTTCAACCCTCTCCTTAGTGATTAATGCCTGCAACCCTTACCTTTAGACACTGCTCATGAAACAACTGTCCCTGTGAGAAACCTTCTGAGTGGGAAGTTTTCTTAGGCACCCTTTGCTCAGCAGGCTCTTAGAGACAGGCAGATCGAATGACTTGGCACTGCCTTGCTGTTCTGTCAGTAGAGAGGACTATATGATGACCTAATGGAAGTTTTGCAGCCCTTTCTACCTATAGACACTCTCATCTTATGCAGCTGCCAAATTCATTTGCAAGGGTAAGCAACTGCCTTGATACTTGCCAAATGTTTCCACTGCCATAATAGCCCAGTGTATTCAGTGATGTGTAACATACCCCATCCTAGCTGCTGAATCTTTCTACATTTTTGTAAGCACAGGGGTGCCAGGGTTCCATTTTAGCTTTGATCCAGATCTTGCTATCATCCTATTCTTCTCAAGGATTTTCAGGCTCCTAGGTGATTGCAAATGCTAACCACAGGTCTCTGCAGAGCTGGTTTGCTTGCATATTACTAAACAGGAACAGAAGTCCTTCAGACTTATCCTGGGGCTACTACTTTGTGGGCACAGCACCTTCACAAGGCTTAGCAATCTGGTGATTTGATATTTTTTGCACTAGAAGGTCCCAGCCTGAATCACTTAAACTGGTGTCCTTCCTTTCAACATTCATGTTTGTTGTCTGTTCCAAATGGCATCTTTCAAGACACATTCCTTCTTAGGGCATCCTCAGTTTTCTCAAATGTCTTTTTCATGTACCTTAGAGTGATTCTTTTTCTAAGACTGTCATGGAGAGATTCTTCCTCAGTTCTGTGTGACAAAAGGTCTTCCCTCTCCCTCCAAAATGTTCCCCTCATTTAAGACATTCTCCTTCTCAGGGTGTTCTGTCTTATAAAGTGTCTAAATTTACATGGGCCACTTGATGCAGTTAGTGGCTATGATACAAACCTATCACTTGTCAAATTTGTGGCCACTGAGCTCTTTCAGCAATCCATAGTGATTTGGCTACTTTAATTCCTGACTGTATCATAGCTGTGATTCTTTCCTCTCAATAGTTCTCCAGGATGCACTGTTTGTATCATTTTCTGGCATTAATTCCAGACTTTTTCAAAGCAAAATCAGAAGGTATAGAAGGTAGTGAAGTGATGTAAGGGGTGCATATATGTTTATTTTCTTCAGTGGTGAGCAGAATTTCTCTCCTGCTACCTGTTGTTTGCTGTTCCCTCGGTTGTGGTAATACAAGTCTTTAGGAATATGGTTTGCAATTCACCCTACAATGATCCAAATAGAGTTTGAAAAAGCTTTTTCAATATATTTATTTCTGTGAGTTATTTGTCCTGTGGCATACTGGATTAGGGAACTGTTGGTGATTAAAACTAACCCAGTTTAGAAAAAAATGATTAATATGAGTTGTCCAGGTTTGTGAGTGCTCATATCAGCACAGTTAAGGAGCAGGAACATGACACGGTTGGGGGGAGGCAGAAATTACTGTTTTGACAATGTACCACATCTATGTTGACTTAAACCAATTATTAAATTCACATTAAATTCTTATGCTTGCAAAATAAATAGATTATTCTGTAGCTAGATCATCTTGCTGAACTGGCTGTGCACTGTGTTGCATAAGTGCAAGTGTTGGTGGAAGGTGTAGGATGAAGGGTGGATTGTGGCAACATCTTTGGTTTTTGTAATTGTCTTGGAGCTACACCTGCTGTTTCAGCTTGAAGATGTCTATATGTATCATTAATATCCAGGCTTTTCAGATTCTGTGATTTCTTATCCAAGCACTGATATAACCTTAGGCTGATGAGCAGAACTATTTTAAAAAGGGAAAAAAAATAGGAAGGAAAAAACATCTTGGTTGGCAGCCAGCTTCATTTTACACTCATGCAGAACAATATGCAATTCAGGCATTTTATCAAGCTTTTGCTCAAAAGAAAACTTTATAGCAGTATTTTGCTATAATTACATTAGTGTGGAAACTTAGTTTCTCTAGCAACATTAAGCACTAAGGTAATAAAGTAATACAAGTTTAGATAAGTCTAATACTGGGAGTTGCTGTATCTGGTAGCCCATTATAGAGGAGACTGCTGCAGCTCCTGGTGCCAGGACCACAAGGATGTATCTTTAAGAGGCACATGTGCACACTATATGTGAATATACAGACAGAATCAACACGTTCAGCACTCATGCAAATACAAGCAGCTTCAATGGCCTCATCCTTTCCATTCACTGGCTGACTGCGAAGAAAGCTTGCTTCTGGAAATGCTTATGTACACAACATGGATCCTCCAGCAAGAGGCCTTAAATTCTTATCTGCTCAGTTACTGGTCCCTGGATCCCCATGTCTCCCAGCTAACAGACAAACATGCATTGGGTCTCTGGTAGCTGGTCCTGGTGTCCCTCCAGTAGCCAAATCTCAGACTTTCTGGTCTCTGCAGCATCTGGCCCAGACTCATGGTTGCTCGGCTCCCAAGCCTTCTGCATGGCTGGTCTGGTTGGGGTTTGCCCGAGGTCACACACTGGCACAGCTACCCAGGCTGTGTGCCTGGGCTCCAGCCTCTGCCTTCTGGTGCCCCTGGGCCCCTGCCACCCGTGGTGGTACAGCTCCAGCTGCTGGCATCTCTGTTTCTGTACACTGTCACACCCAATGGAGATTTTCCCTCACCCAGGAAAATAGTTACAAATGTAGTTTAACAAGCAGGTAGGACAATCTGGAGTGCTCAGGCCCAGGGCATGGCTGAACCACCATACTGGGCAGCCACTGCTTACATACACCTGGCCCCTGGTAGCCCCTTTCCCCCCTCCCACTATCCTCCTGTGCTTGCTCTTTCCCAAACCACTTTCATGGGTCACTATCCCTCGTGTTGCCTTCAGTTCTTCTTCTGAATACCCAGTACTGCCTTCTGCAAACCCAAAATACTCCTTCAGGCATCTCACAATGAGTCCCATACCCAGTGGGCAGTAACCCCCTCCCTAGGTCTGTGAGGTGGTCTAGAGAGCCTCTCCTGTGAACTCTGGGTCTCTCTCGCCCCTGGGGTCTGGGAGCAGCTGGACTGAGGGCTTGGTTTCTTTCATTTGAGTTGTTGAGGTTCCTCTGCCCCACACTGTTCATTTGTGCTCTTTGTGTCTGTGGGGAGGAGCCTTTAATCACTGACTTATTTTTGTCTCTAAAACGTCAAGAGTCTGGGTGGGCACTGCACAACTGCTCCAACAGTGGAGGGTGCAGCGTAGGCTCACCTGTGACTCCTCAATGCTGACACTGCCAGAGTCTGAACTATGTGAAGCACATCCAATTCTTGTTCAGTTACTGAAGAACAACTAAGAACATAAATTAAAAAAACCTCAAAACTCTAACCACCAGCTTTATATTCTTAATAATAGTAAAGTGCAAAGGGAGGGGAAATAGGAAAGGATTAGGTGTTTATAAGTAATGGTTTTCATACAGTGCTTCTAACCACAAGAGTATTTTGTTTCTCAAATTTAAATGTAATAGGCTTCAGATTATAAAATGCTTTATTTAATCTTGGCTTGAAAGCAATGCCAGCGAAGTGGACTGGTCACAATTTTGTTAGGTGGTACTGACAAGCCAAGTCTTAGAAATGGTTCCAAAAGTGCTTGTTATTCTAAATGCTAATTGATTTTTAGCAGTTAAAAGTCTCCCTTTGTTTCGTGTGAATTTCTTGTTTTAAATGCGGCTTGTGTCTGCTTTGGGATTTTTCCCCTTAGAGCAAACAAGTTTATACCTAGATCTTTATAGCCTTAGGATATTTCAAGCTATAATTATTTCTCTTTCCTTCCCCCTGCTTCTAGGCTCCCTTGTTTTCAAGGCTGGACATGTTAAGCTTAGGAAGCTGCTGCCACTATTTCAAGTGGTGTTTGTTTCCACCCTCCGGACGCTTTCAGTGGAGTACATCATTTTTCAAACTTAGTTTTTGCTTTTTGTACTTGAGAACACCTTTCCTTCCATCTACTACATTTTCTCTTTTTCCAATTTGTTGCTTTAGTTTAGACCACAGAAATTTAAAGCCTTGCATGCGTTTTTATGTGAAGGCTTGCTTTAAGGTGATACGTTGTTGAGCAAACATTAGGAATTGGAGGCACATCTTGTTAATAAAAATCAGATTTTTTTTTATCCTGAAAAAACGCCCGGATAAATATAATAAAAGTCAGTTGTTTGCTGGTGGATATTATGAAAACCCCAGTATCCACACGCTGTAACGCACTCGGTAATCTGTCACGGCCGCGGGCAGCCCCAGCCCTTGCGGGGCCGGCTCGCAGCCCCGGCCGCGGGCCGAAGCCGGGGTTCGCCCGGGAGCCGCCTCAGGGCCGGCGCGGCGGCGCTCGGGGCCCGCTCGCACCGAGGCGTTCGCGCCGCTCCTCCGGCGCCGGAGCTCGGCCGGGGAGCGCAGCGGGCTCTTTAAGAAGCCCCCGTGCCGGTGGCTGTCGCCGGCTGCCAAGTGCGGGAGAAGCCGAGCTTTGCGGCGAAGCCCGAGCGTAACCAGCCGGCTGGGGGAGATGCCGCCCCGCAGTGACTGACAGCAGGACCAGCTCTATGCAAATGGCGCCGGGGGCTCTGCCGGGGCTCTCTCTCTCCACACGCGCCGCCGCCTCTCGCCTCCCGCTCCCCGTAACGCGCCCTGCCTCGCACAAAGCAATTGTTGCTTTTTGGGGGGGGACGTCGTTACACGTAAAATCATCTCCAGCACGGTTTCAGTTTGAGATTGTGAGAGGGAGCCGGGAGATGTGTCAGAGCTTGTTACTCCAGCTAAATTAGGTAATTTTTAGCTGGGTAACGTGCTAATCTTTAAACCTTTATGTTTTTAAATCCTGCATATGTCTGGTCTCTTCATACAAAAGTGTATTTTGCTTGTTTCTTCTCGCCTTCTTCAGTCTGAAGCCTTATGTAGGTCAGGCTTGGCTTAAGCAGATTTCCTGAACCTGCGTCAGCTTAAGCTGAAGGAATTTTAATAAACCCTCCCTTGTAGGCGTGGGCCTAAATGAGACTAGCCTAGTTAAGCCTGATCTTTTTCTGTTTGTGAAAAAGAGCTGAGCAGAGCTAGGGACTGCATGGTGGCTCCAGGAACGGCTTCCTTAATTCAAAGATAACAATGGTTGGGAAGGCCAGATCTTCTAATTTTACCTTATCTGAAAAGCTTGATTTGCTAAAACTCGTGAAGCCGTATGTTAAAATTCTCGAGGAACATACCAATAAGCATTCTGTAATAGTGGAAAAAAACAAATGCTGGGATATTATAGCTGATAACTACAATGCCATCGGAGTAGATCGCCCTCCTCGTACTGCACAGGGCCTGCGCACGCTGTACAAGAGGCTCAAAGAATATGCCAAACAGGAGCTATTGCAGCAAAAGGAGACTCACTCAGATTGTAAAAGCAGCATTTCCGAGCCAACCAAGAAAGTTGTGGAAATGATTCCACAGATTTCCAATGTGTGTTTAAGAGACAGGAGCGGTGTTCAAAGGTGAGACAATTCTTTTTATTTTGTTACTGAATGAAAATTATGGCGCCTCCTATCTACTTTGTAATGCTTTTGCTTGTGCTCAGGCTCCTAAAGGAAGTGTTTATCAGAGAAAATTCCCAATTGGGAAACAATGACAAAAATAATACTGCTGTTGTTTTATGAGAAGCTTTATGTTGACTTAGCATTGCATTCATTTTTTTCAGCTCTTTCAAAGCTTGTTTTAGAGTCTTTGTCATACTCTGGAAAGTGAGGGTTAAGAGAGAATCAAAGGGAAATAGTAGCTCCAACCTCTACCCCTCCCCTACCTTTTAATAGGCAGATTATTCAAACACTGGCAAAGTGATGGCTATTCTCCTCCATTTAAGGTAATACTGCAGTCATTTTGCAACATATGAAACTGTTACCAGTTTATATAGGATTTTTAATAAAGTTAGTTCACAGAGCCAAGAAATCTTATTCACCTTTTTTCTCTTATTTACTTTGGTGTTTGCATGTTATGTTTTAGCTAATCCCAAACCTTTAAAGAAAAAAAAATTGATTCTCCACACTGCAGTGCCTTTGTGAGTGCAAATGTTTTTTTAAATTATACTTTTCTTGTACTGACGATGGTTCCCTGAAGCTGGAGCAAAGCTAATTGCAGTCTAAACTCCGAGCAGTTCTGTGTCATATGTGAGGTAGTTTAAATACAGAGAGAAACTGAGAGGTACAGCACTAGAAGTTTTCTCTTTTTTTTTTTTTTGCGAGGTTTCTTTTTTTTACTGCTCAGTAAAGTGAGACACACTGTCTAGATTTGAGCCAGACATAATACAGGCAGGCACTGTGCAGGCTTTCTCCCACAGCTGGCTAATGCCCCTCATATCTGACTTGCAACACTCTGCTGGTTCTGTATTGGTCCTTGAGGGATCAAAAAATGCCTGGGTCGGATTTTGGTTCCTCCAGATACAAAAACTAAGCTAGGGAGTGGGGGAGGGAAGTCAAATAACTCCCCAGCAACCTTGAGAAAGCTCTGATTTTTCTTATTTTCCCAAGCAGATTAATGGGAAGCGAACTTTCCGTATTTTAATCAGATATACTGATAGTGAGTGCAGCAGCGTAACGCTCTAAGAAAAGCTGGCATGCGCACACTCACCGAATTGGATTCATGGTGCCACTGGTTGAACTGAATGGTAACAATTGTCTAAATCCCAACATGCCAGATGCTCTAAAAATATTCTGTTGTGGGTCCTTTGCGTAAAGAAGTCTAAAGCAACTGGACTGTGCTGCTGCTCCTGATGAATGCCCCTGGAGGAACCATTCCAAAGAATTCTCTGGAACAAAATGAGGCTTTTAATTGCTCTAATAAAGGTTGCAGTGTCTTGACTACCAACTTTGTAAGGAGGGGGAAAAAACCATAGTGTGAGAACTTTAGTTTGTAGATCGGCTTATAAAAAGCACTGACGCTGTTAGTGAATGATTAAGAGCTAATGATCTCCATAGTTTGTCTCCTGTAATTTAAACAATTTTTGCAGTTTTTTATGGGTCCTGGAACACTGACTTGATTACTGCTTACCCAAAATGGTTGTTCCTAGGAACAGCCACTACACTGTGGGCTGAAGGAAAAGAACATAATTTACAAGATTATTTTTTTCCCTGCCCAAATATATAATTATTTGATAGTTCTCTGAGTTGCATTTTATTCTGATTTTATAAACCCAGTGTTGGGTTTTAACTCACCAGGATATGACTTAGGTTTTGGAGGAGGGAAATATGACTTATAAGGAGCCCAAATTCTTAATCGCACCTTTAAGGAATTTCTAGCTTGCTGTGATTAAATGAAACCTGGTGAATCATGGGTGCCTGCAGGCTTATAAACACCATGCCCCAATTGTGGTAACTGTTGTTTGTCTTTCTTTCAGTCAAGTTGTCAGAAACAACATTAGTAACCACCATACAGGCAGCTCTTTTGTTTCTCAATTCCTTCTTTCTCTCTTTGCTGTCTAATTGTTTTCCACTTAAGAGGCTGACTAAGGGGAAAAAAAAAACAAGCCTCATCAGAGTTACCTGAAGATCTGGTAATTTTTCTAGTTCTCTGTGGATTACACTATTAAGAGTGGATTTTTTTCCACTGTTTAGAGGCTTTAGCCTATGCTACACAAAATCTCACCTTTCTTTCTTCTATTTAACCTCTCTTACTTTCTCTTTCTGCTCTCTCTCCATTTCCTTTTGTCAGAATGACCTGCTTCTCCTGCTGGTTGTTTCCACTTTTCTCAGGCTAGAAGCTGGCCAGGAGCCAGCAAATAAGAAGGAGAGAAGCTTTATTAGAAGCTGTGGTTGTGAAAAGGGGGAAAACTCAGAATTACACTCAGCACAGGGGAAAACAAGTGAAAATTTGTGTGCAGGATAATGCTTCCTATGCTGAGAGAACTAAAACAATGTGAGAAAGAAGCATGTAGGAAAAAGTGAAGCTTTGTGGCATGAGGTAGAAGGGAGTAAGGTGATATAATTGATTCTCTATAGGCAGCTCAGGTAACAGTCAATAGAATTAAGCTTATCTTGGTTTTTTCTTCAGAGGATTAATGAAAGGTCAGTTTTCAATACTTGCTTCAGATGGACAGTACTTTTAAAAGAATTTTAAGATTAAATAGTTTGTGTGGTTGACAGGCTTTATTTTTGGAAAATATATTGCTCTGACCCTCATGGGCCTTTTTGCAAATAAGCATTGAGAAACTTTCATGCTTTTATTATAGAAAGTGCATTTTCTTGTTAATGGATGGCAGGCTAGGTCAGGGTCCTTCAGAAAATGCAACTATGATTGCTTATTTCTTTTAAACCCAGAGTTTCGAAGACCATGGGAGAACCAGAAGTTAGGATCATGCTACCTTTTCATTAAGGAGGTAGTGCATTTATGTGAGAACAGGATGTCTAAATTACATTTCTTCTTTGCTTCTGGGAATTTGAACCTACATCTCTTACTAACCAGGATGGTGTTTTAATAATCAGATAGTTTCTCAGTGTATGGCTTGTCGGGCTCTGAAGGCATTTTAAATTGTAGAGAAACGCCATGGCTCACCCCCAGATTTAAGATGGCAACTCAAGTCCTCCAGGATTGGGGAGCATCTGTGAACGTTATGTTCATCATGGATCCACTTGCTGCCTTTGACTGCTAGCAGCAGTTTTTGAAGGGTTCAAAAATGTTTTTCGTCTGCAAGCACCAGTTACAGCCTCTGTTTTAGACAGTCCTGACCATGAGAGTGCACTGACTTGGCTGTCAATCCCAAGTTAATATATTCGTGTTGCCATGTAACTCTATACTGCCATCCCAGTCATGCTGCAAGTATTCTTTGTAGATCTGTACAGTAATAGATCAAGAAGCTGATCTGGCTTAAAAAAACATTACCTGAATAAAGGAGTGATGTGCAGAAGTGTAGGGTTTCAAACACAACTGATGGTAGACAAGTGTCAGGAACAGCTTGAGCCATTATTATCATCAAAGCCAAGGCAATGCCAAATCATGATTTGAGATGCTGCTGACTCAGGGATTTACACAAAGACAGATGAGTCAAGTGGGTGTTGGTCTTTAAAAAAGAAATGCACAGGACTATAGCCTGTTCTTAATGGAAACATTTCTGTGTCTTGAAGCTTCAGAAGAAATATTAAGATGGACGATTCAAAGAGAAGGAGCAAGGATTAGCTTGGTTCCCAAATCTACTGGCAAGGGTTGTCTTTTAGGCTCTGGTTTCTTTTCCCAAGGCTCTTAGTGTAATTTTATTTAGTGATTATTTTATGTTGGAAAAAACCCCTAAATACTTGGGTGCATGAATCAGAAACAGAGCACATTAAAACAGGGGGAGACAAATAAATTTGGAAGGTGGGAATGGTTCTGCCATAGTTCACTCCATCTAAAATGTCCTTTTAAAATGAACCTTTTGCATTATATAAACATTTTCCTCTCTTACTTGCATGACTTGGTGCTGCTTTTTTTTTTAAATATAGTTTCATGTGTCATTAATAGCCCTTCTTGCTTCTTCAGTGTCAGAGGGACCTACCAGATGAGGTCTCTATTTTCTGTACTGCCTTTAGAGCAATAAAATCTGAGTGAGACAGGGCTGTGTCTGTGTGGTAGAAAGAGGGGCACAAGTGATGTTCAGGTAATGGAATAGAGTCCTGGGCACAGATAGCAGGGTAGTATTCAAATGAAGCTTTGGTTACTTACAGCTATGCCTTTTAAAATAGTTTTTAATGGATTATTTAAATATGATTTTGTGTGTTCTAGTGCTAGTATCGATAAAGAAACAATTGCTGGCACCAGTTCACCACAGGCAATGTTGGATCACCATCCTGCGACAGTCATGATGGACTTGCAGTCAGAAGAGGATGTCAAACCTCCTCCTTCTCTGATTATAGACTCCCAGCAGAATGAGAACTTAGAACAAGAGGAGGAACACCAGCTGGTGCATATTATGGAAAGGTCTCCTTCAACATCAGTGTCTTCAGTTGATATGAGAGTGATGATGTCTCCTTCCCCTGTACCGAGAAGAGATGAGTTTTTTAGGCTTGAGGTTGGAGAACGCTTTAGACCAATGTGTGGTTATGACCCACAGATGTTGCAAATGTTGAAAGAGGAGCATCAAATAATATTAGAAAACCAAAGAAAAATTGGTCTTTATGTCCAAGAAAAAAGGGATGGTTTGAAAAGAAAGCAGCAACTGGAAGAAGAACTGTTGCGAACAAAAATCAAAGTAGAGAAGCTGAAGGCAATACGACTACGCCGTGATCTGCCAGAATACAACAATATCTAAATATTTTATTACTTCTGTCATATTCTTTGAAATACTTAATAATAAATGCAAAATTGTTTCTTATGTTAATATGGATGAATCAAAATCTGGGCTTGAGACATGAAAGCATATGTTGTTTAACAAGTACCTTAGAAAGATACCTCGTGTGGGTTTGAATGCACCAACTCTTCTGGTCTAAAGTATAGTCAAATCCATGTTTAAGTGTTTAGATTGATAAAAATCCAAACTTTAAAAACATTTCCACTTATCTCTAGAGTTTTGATGAGCTAATGGAAATTTAATTCAGTTCTTGTTAAAAATTTTGGTCATATACATTATTTTTTCAAATAATCACCTTTAATATCTTAATGAAGTTGCAGGTAAATAAATGCATATAAGAAGGAGAAATAAGAGGCCATGTTTAAATGTTTTATTATTTTCAAGTTGGTAAATCTTATGACAGTAGTGACGTTTTGCTGATATAACAGCTTGGAAAACAAAATTACTGGATTGTTATATTTTTTTAATGTTCAGTAGACATTTGAATAAATGTACATCTTTTTAAAAGTTGATACTTTTTAATTGTTTCCAGTGGAGAAGTGTTTCCATAGGATGTTATCAAAAGAGAGATAGTGAATGCAACACTTGGTTTTTAAAACTGCATGCATGTGTAATTTGTGTGTACAGTTACCATGATTGTGTATTCAGTTATAGTAATTATACTGGTGATCAACCATATAAATATCTACTTTGCTCATTTGCATGCATAATTACTGCAGTGCATGTGCAACCAAGACAGTTGCAGGTGCCTTTGATCAATATCACTATGACTATAAGCTACTGAAATAAAATAGTTTCTGTATGTAAGTAACATGTGACTTGAAATCAACAGCAGATTGTGTTATTCTGGGTCCCTTTTATAGATCCTGTTGTTCCCATCTTTCGATTAGTTTCAAATAAAAAGCCCCAAATGAAAACAAAATTGATTCTTCTGTCTGTCCTGGTAGCAGCTGTTTCCTCTGTAGTTATGATCAACTTTAATAACTGGAAGAAAAATACATGAAAAATATCAGTCCCAGATGATTAATTTCTTCATAATTCTTAGTCTCCTGCCTCTTGTGAATGTATCCACAGCTGCCTTAGACCTCTGGCTCCTTATTCCCTGTAACAATGCTTTCCCCTTCCTCTAACCTTTATAGCAAGAAAAGGAAATGAAGGATAGTATCAAGGAAAAAGACAGAACAAAGGAAATATAATTCCTCTGGTGCCTCCTATCTCAGAGGCCCCCAACAACAGAATGAAAAAAAGCAATAGGAAGCAGACTATTTCTTCCTTGCTCCTGTCATCACTGTTTTCCCAAATTGCTTTTTTTCTCCACTCCCACAAACCTCTGCATGCAAGCATGGGGCAATGGTCTGCATCAGCAGACTCTCAGCGAGGTAAGCCTCACACCTTGTTGGTCTTCTGAGTAAATCAGACACCACAGGGGTAGGTACTTAGTAAAAACTGAAGACTGGGAGCATGTAAGCATAGCTGAGGAGCTAATGGAGCTTAAAGAATTGTAGTTAAATTTTGTGATATAATAATCTTGACTGTCACTGCCCAGGATAAATTTAACAAGTTTCAGGTAGGAAAAGTAAAGGGAAGCAAGTCTTTTATTTGCAAACTGAGGAAAACTATAGAACAGTGAAAACAGGTGTTGACAATCTGGAGTTCCTCAAAACTTTTTCAGTTGTTTTCTTGAGAAGAGAGTACTGTAAGTGTTCTGGGAATTTTTGTGTGTACTGAAAATGATGATGCCTGGATAAGTGGCCTTTGTTCCAGTACAGTCCTTGGCTTTCTGCTGTGTTTCTTAGTTCAAGGACATTGATCTGTTTTTGTGTAGCTGGAAACGCTTCAAGGAGATGCTCACTTCTCTGAGTTTACAAGAATCAAAATGCTTGCTTTACTAAATAAATATAGATTTTATTTGTTCTGCTTCTCAGAAATGGGAAACAGTACTAAATTATCTGCCCTTGTCTTGTAATTTGAAAGTGTCTGATCTTATCCTTTCAGTTGAAAATCAGAATTCTGGTTTCTAGTGGCAAGGAATTAATTTCTAGTTTATTTTCTTATATATTATGCAAATGACCAAGTTTTTAAGAGTTCATAAAATAATTCCCATACAGCTTATTGTCTTGCAGTGGTACCTTTGAATTCTAGGTACTCTTAACACTGGCCATCAAAATGTTCTGGAGACTTTAGGGTGTTTTCTTCTGATGCTATATGAAGAGGTGACTTCCAGGGTTTCTACTAGCATGGTATTTTTATTTCAAGGACTAGAACTAGAGGAGTTTTCAGTCTTGGAAAGCTTATAGTCTTTTCTCAACTGGCAGGCAAAGTAGTTGCAAAAATAGGACCCTGCACAGAGCAAAGCCTCCCTTGTGTTCTTGATGTTGTAAGGGGAAGGATGCAAATGAGTGAAGAAATAAAATGCAGTGTCCCCTTATAGTTGGTGTTCTTCCATGTTTCATTGTTCTGACTTTTGTGTCACTTGTTAGTGGAAGACTTTTGTTCTTTTCTGCAAGCAGCACCTCTAGTTCAGAGATCTCATGTTTCTCATTTGCTGTGTTCTCAGTTTTGTTTCTTTTAAATTTTGGGGAGCTTGGGAAAGGGGGAGACATCTCTTGAGTGTCCATGGAGCTCGCTCTTCCCTTTACTAGTGAGATGATTATTTCCTTTCACTAGAGAAATGTTTCCTCCTTCAGTGCCATTATATTGCCCTCTCAGTTCAGTGTGGTGCTGACTATATCTTACACCTCTCTGTGCTGGTGGATTTGCATTTCTTTCCCACTCCACATCTGCTTTGCAGTATCAGGTTGTCTTTCTGAGTCAGACTTCTCACTTCTCCATGCCTGTTCCTGGTTTTTTTTCCATGTATTCCTAATGTTGGGTACATGCACCACAGCTGTGGCTGGTCCTTCTGGACCATGAAGTGCTATGAATTTTTACTGTTCCAGCAAATGATACTGTGCTAGCGTGTGTGAAAGGGATGGAAGGAAGCCCTTCCCTCCTTCACCCTCATTCTTATCCTCTTACTCCCTCTCCTACATCTGGCAGTGCCATTCCCTGTCTGCATGTTTATAATGTACAGAGTACAAGCAGAGTAATTTTAGGCAAGGACAAATTTCTACCATATGCTCATGTCCTTCTACTAATATAACTGCAGCAAACAGGCTGTACGAGTAACTTAATTCCCAACATCTAATGGATTTATGTTTAGGATTAGAATAAAAATTGTACCTATGATAACTTTGTAATAATTGTGATAGCATCTTGTGTCATTTCATCCAAGTAACTGGTTAGCAATCAGTCTATCATTTCCTTGCTGCTACCTAATTATCTTGCTGTTTTTGTTCCTGCTTCCCCCTGTAAACTTTTGATTCCTGTGGAATGCTTGCCTAATTCTTATGAGGTAAAAATGGTAAGAGACAACACTCCAAGACTGCAAGAGATTGCTTGTAGCTAATTGTAGTTGTCATACCCCTGTTTTCTAATATTTTCTACTTAACTAGCTTAAATTTATTTCTTTCATTCATACTTCTACACATTTTCTGACTTAGGATTCCACCCCCCCCACCAATTAAAACTTGAGCTTGCATACTGTCTTCTTTGGGCAAACTTGTGCTCACTGGATTTCCAATAGTCAAAGCCATTAACTTCCTTTCAATTAGATGATAGTTGTTTCTGAGTGGGAGGAAGAAACAAGAAATTGTGCTACCCAGGCTGCCTGGCTAAGGTGTCTTTTAAGATTTCCTATGTCTTTTTTAAAAGTACTTTAAGATGCTCCCATGTCAATTTCAACTTCACTAAAAAAGTAAAACAGTTACTCAAGAAGATGATAAAGTGTTGTTTTCCTAAGATGTTGATTACTTTTCCATTTTGCTTATGAAAATAAAAAGAGGCCTCTAAAAAGAACACTCTCAGCATTTAAATGCATTAAATATAGCTTCTCAGTGTGTATACCTAACAAGGAAGGCCATTATTCTGTTTTCAACATCCAGGTCTTAAATAATTTGAGAAGTCTTACTGATGGTGTCTTAAAGTAAAAAAAAAAAAAAAAAGAAGAAGAAAAAAGTGCTGTTTATAGTAGTTAAAATAATGTCTGTTAGCTGTCTGTGTAATACAGGACTAAATTTCAATCATTCTGTGACCTCTGTTTCTGTGTTTTATCTCTTGTTAAAACCACAAGTGTTTGCCTTGGTGTCAACCTGTGTATAGTGATGCTTGCTCTTGAATGGCATCCAGTTTGTCTGGGTAAAGTTTTTCTCCAGCTAAAGATGCAGTTTCCTGAAGTTCCATTGAATGCTAGCTAACAAAATATGGATTCTTCCTTGTAAAACCTACAGTTGTTCAGTGGTAAAATAGATAGTTGAAAACCTTGCTTTTGATTTGTGTGTGTGGGGAGGTGGATGAGGGTCAGAGAACCCAAGGAGAGCTCAGCCATCTATAGGCACTGGCATTCCCCACTGCCCCTGACTTTCTTCCATGCTGTGGGATTTTCACTCTGTTTTATCCCAGTGATTGCACAGAATGATTTGTTGTTGCATGCAAATATCTCTTCAGTATAACACCTTGTTTGACTCTGTATCACTCACACAAGAAGAATATAATATAATTTTAATTGAATACTTAATCAACAGTTACTCCACATAATTTATGATTTCTATTTGCTCTTTAACAGAATTGCAGACTTGGAAAATGCTGCTGATTTTTTTTGTGTTTTACACATGCAATTATATATTTTTTGAAAAGGAGTCATTGTTTCCTGGCCATTCCCTTTTGGCTCTTGATTTTCATTTATAGTTAGGCACAATAACTAGCATAATTTGACATAAATATAATAGAAAAACAATTCCACTGGCTTACATTGCCCCTCCAGATTTGGTTGACTTCAGAGCCCAGTGTGGTTAGGGCTGTCATTTTGTTTACAGTATTCTGTGTTGCCATTTGCTTGCTTTGTGTGTTGGTGAAAGAGTCTTGTCTGTATTGCTAATACTTTCTCAAAATGTGTACATTTTCAAAGCTTGGAACTTTCTACATGCTTGAAAAAAGTAAACCAGCTTCTAAATGACTGATTTTTTTTACTTTTTTTTAGCTTTCATTTAGCAGAAGCACTTGGACAAAGTGTTTATCTAGTTTGGGGATGGGGAGAAGGGATGTCGGACTGCCTGTGGTTAGTTGCTACAATATTGTTTGTCCTGCATTGCATCACATAACAACTTGCAGTAGTGTCAAGCTGTAGTTGTTGTTAATCACTGCATATGTCATGTGAAAGAAGTAATTCATCACAACTCAGCAGCAGTTTGCAGATACATTTTCCATAGGCCACTTGTTGATGCTATAAAGAACACCATTTTGTAAAGTCAAAGCTTTTATTTGAGGTACCTAACAGAGATACAGGATTAAAACCGGTATGTGATATTGCTATTGCTGTGTTCTCCATTCTAATATGGCATTTGTTTCAGGCTGCACTGTAAGCCACCCCAGACAAAATTGAATTGTAAGCTCTGCAGGTTTCACCAAGTAATGTCTGCACTGCTTTGCACTGTGAGGAGGCTTTGGCAGGAGGTTGTACATGACAAGATGACCTTGGTAGCATTAACTGGCAGTTTGGCCAAGCTACTTTGTGCTGTTACCTCCTCTCAGGCTAGAGTGTGTGTGTTCTATATATGTGTTTGTTGATGACTCATCTTTTTCCTGTGAAGCAAATTGCAGGGAGAATACTCTGTTTAGCATATATTGAATTTTTCTCATCTTTTCTTTGTAGTGTTCCAGTTTCCCTGTGCTTTTGAAAAAGTACTTGAAACTTGGCATCAAGCTGGTCTTTGGCATTCATATAAAACCTCACTCAAGTTTGTCTTAAGTTGTAAGTCATTAACAAACGCAGAAGGTGGTCATTTTCAGAACAAGTTTTTTACACTTTGGATGTTGTCCGTAACAGCTGATTCTTAGGAGTCAGGCCTGTCTAGCCTGAGCACATTGCACTCTTGAGAGTGGATCAGGGAGTTCTCAGCTCTGAACACCTTGAAGTGAAAGCAAGAAAATGTGTCTGTAGTTCTGCCAATAATGGGACAGACAGCCTCAGTGAGGGAGCCATTTGTTTAGGTCCAGAGGGTTGCAGATGACAA